GCTCAGCAAGGAGCCTGCTTCTCACTCTCCCTCTGTCCCTCCCCCAGCTCGTGCTCCCTCTCTCTCTATCTCAAATAAATAAATAGAATCTCTTAAAAACTTTAAAAAAAATAGGTGAAAGTCTTTGAAGCTCTCAGATGAAAGACAATATTTAACATATCAAAGATTTATCATGATCAGATATTATAAACAGCATGTCAATTTTTAATTTTTTAGTGTTAATCAAAGCATAGTCTCTTAAGATTCTATTACAAAAATCTACTAATGAATCTGAATATGATTAAAAGAGAATCACCAGAATTTGCAAGACTAGTAAATTAAGTTGTCCACACTTGATCAATACTGTTTAAAGTAGAAACTTTGGGGAGTAAAAAAACTGCTGAACTATTTGATCAAAGGAATGAAGTACATTAAACTTCACAAAATATGATTAGTTAGGCATCTTTCATTAAGACATAAGGTGACAAAAGGACATGTAACTAAATGGTGCACTAATTTGATTAATATTTAAGAACTTGAACAAAGAATCGAATACATATCATTTCTTCCTTTAAAATATGGTTATTGATGCTAATATATATCTATTGAATGGGGGAAAAAATTCAGATCTATATAGTGCTGTGTGTTAAGAGCAGATACATAAAGTAATAACAAAAACACCTTTTATATACCATCAAGTTAGCCACAGGCTCACTATTTTAATTTATCCAGATTTATCATTCAATAAGTAGGTGAGACATTTCCGCATTCCAAATTCTGGATGAAAATAGGAGTAGGACACATCAGGCTTTTCTGTAGTGGGTTAATCTGACCTCTGAACAATATAATACATTCCAGACTATCTCTCAAAGTTCAGAAAAGGTGTATAATTTGCACAATTCTCCTTTTCACCAGATTGTCATTTATACAATTCACCTCTGTCAATTTGTTGTTCTGCTTAAATTATCTTAAGAATGCAATGTGAGAGCCAGAAGAAGCCTCCCAAGGTTGCTTTAGCTACATTTTATTATTAACTACCAAAGCCCCCCAGGATTTATAGGTCCTGGGAACCCAGGCTGATTTACGGAGGTCTCTACCATTGCTTTTTGAGATTTAGCCTTACAAAGATCTTCATTTTAAAGTTTAATCTAGCTTGGTTTAAAACCTAATAATTATTGTTCTATCACTGTACACTTTGGCCTGAACAAATTTAATATACTTGGGTACAAAATTTTAATAAATTTTCATAAATTTCATGTGCAAAATTCTTCTGATGTTTAAAGCGGTGTTTTAGATGTCCAATGAGTACACCCATTAGTACAGAAACTGTAGTTAGTATTCCTAGCAGATGCCACAAATGACAAGTCAGATTGTAGAGAAATGGATAAAAATGCAGTAAATCAGATTTAGTAAAAAGAATGAATACATTTACCATATAAAGGAAGGGAAATCTTTTTTAAAATAATTAGAAGTATAATTTGCATTTTCATTGTTGGCACCAAACAAATCTCACTAGAAATATAAAATGAGAAGTCAGAAAAACTTTCAAACATTTGGATAAAGACTAGATATTTCTTCTTCTCCTTCTCCTTCTTCTTCTTCTACTTCTTCTTCTTTACTATCAGCTTTCAAAGTTGCTAAGTCATTCTTTCAAAATTCTCTTTTAGATCCTTTAAGTTTTTCAGTCTCTTCTCGACACAGACATGAACTCACAAGCAGGTCCCACACTTTGATTTCTCCTCACAGCTTCCTAAGTAGCTGCCATGCTCACTGAACTCAATTTGACGTCTTTTCATAACACTGCTCTGGAAGGAAGAAGGAATGAGCCCAACTGAATCAAAATAAAATGAATACAACTCTGTTGTAGCTTCGGTGCTGTTCATCCTGTGGTACCCACACCAGTCACTGACTAGCACCAGGGGTATCCTAAGAAGATTCTGTCTTCACTTCTTAGTTGTCTATGTAAGCACTGATTTTTCAATTTCACTTGTATTGGTTTTTTGAACCAGAAGGAACTTTATGAGCATAAAAAAGAAAAAAAAGAAAAGAAAAAAATCAACAAGCAAAGAAAGTCAAACAAGGTTGAAAGGATAAGTCTACCATTACAGATTTCTCCATAGTGGTATATGAGTAGAGTGGCCCATTCCTGGTCAATCCCAAGATGGTGTTGGGAGTCTCAGACCTTTCAATCGCCTAGATTAGTGTCCCAACTTGAGAACTGGACACGCTGGTGTTATGGAAATCTGGAATGCTATTAGTTCCAGGTCACTAACTAAAGTTAAGTCCAAATATGAAGCTGTCCATTTAAAGGGTTGTCTTTGATGCAATATGACCTGTATTAAATGAACCATTATTTCTAAATAAAGCAATCAAGTTATGAATTCAATAGCTTACCAGGTGACATTTAGGCAAATGACTTCCTGTCTCTGTACAAAATGGGGTTAATAATAATCCTGACCTATCTCTTAAGGTCTCAGGGGGGACAATTCATTTAGGAATTGTCTAAGTGCTGTATAAATGTTTCTGGTGTTATGAGAGCTTGGTTTTATTGTCACTGGAAAGCCACCATCATAAAAAGGAATTGAGAGGTTTAGTCAGAGGTGAATTAACAAAGCTAGGTCTATGCTAATACAAGTGTCCTCTGACCTTGGATCACTGAGCTTGAAAAATCGCACAGATCGAAATGGAAATGAAGTTTGCATTTTCAGAGACAGAGTTTTTGTTAATTTATTTCCTATTCAACTCCTTTGCTTTGAAAATCATTACTTTGGAAGCAAAACAACCATTCTCAATTCCCACCTCCTTTCTGTTTTCATTATTCATTGCTATTCCCAGGACCATTTGAATTTAAGCATGACACTCGAGGCATCCAAGGCCTTTCTTTCTCAATCAACTATGTGGCACACCCAGGAAACATGCCTGTCAGGAGGCATGGGCCATGTAGACAGCACACTTTTCTCATTTTAAGTTTTCTTTTCTTTAAACTGTGTGATTCCCCAGACATTCATGACTTTTAGAGGAAGTACGTTCTCTCTCCCCAATTAAATTTCCACGATTCGTTCATTTACTTATTTGACAAATAGTTATCGAGTACCTAGTATGGGAGTACCAGGCACTGTCCTAGGCGCCAGAGGTAGTGGTGATGTAGCTTATGTCCTGGGGATGAAGACTAATAGTAAGCAAAATAAATAAGTAAAGGAACATAACATGTTAGAATGAAAAGATGAAGTGTGGTAAGAGCATGGAAGGGCAGAGATGGAGAGGGCAGCAATTTTAAATATGATGGTCCCAGAAAAGCGTCCTTGAGCAGCTGTGATTTCAGGAGAGACTTGAAGGACATGAGTGTGAGAGTCATTGGAGAAGGGCTCTGCAGACAAGGTGAGGGTTCCAGGCAAATGCAAAGGCCCTGAGGTAGGAGACTTCATGTTTGAGAACAGCCAGGAGATCAGGGTGGCTGAGGGGAGTGAGCAGGAGGAAAAGAGCTGGAGAAGAAACGGCAGAGGAATGGGGGCCAGATGACCTAGGGTGGTGCGTGGGGTCAAGGTCTCTGACTTGCGCTCTGAGTGAAATGGGAAGCCCTGGGGAGGTTCTGGTTGGAGGAGTAACATGCTCTGACTCCCATTTTAAAGGCTGGATCTGGCTGTATGAGAATAGAAGGGGAGCAAAGCCGAGACGGGAAGGCCATCGAAGGCTACTGCAGTGGCTCGGAGCGGACATTAGTAGTTTGATCTAGAGTAGCATCTGGGTAGCTTCACCACTTTCAGTTTTTAATCACATCCTGCTTCTTCATCTAGCCATACTTCCCTACTTGGATTACTTCCCTCTCGAAGAAATTATCTTTTCTTTTCTTTTTTTTTTAATTTTTTTTATTAACATTTAATGTATTATTAGCCCCAGGGGTACAGGTCTGTGAATCGCCAGGTTTACACAGAAACTACCTTTTCTTTATGAGACTCACCTTCCTCCCGCTTCTGTCAACACTGATACTCTTCCCCTTCCCCCATCACTGTCTTTAGAGAAGGTCAAACATGCCACACTTGGATGAGGTCAGATCAGTAAGTACACTACCATTGTAAGAGAAACTGAGACATAGTTAAAAAATTTTTTTAACTTCTTTGAAGAAAAATCGATTTGAACCAGGCAGCATCCAATCCAGCAGCTAGAATGGAGCTTTAAGGAGCCATATAAAATGAAAGCCTGAAACAAGGAAGTTACAGTAGGCGGTCAGCAGGTTGGTTCCTGCACGGTCCCTTTCCTTTAGGACATGGCGGGAGTTTATCAGGCAGATTTCCTCACTAGGGCTGATCAGGCGATTCCTGACTGACTGGCTTAAGATTCCATTTCTGAGAGTCAAAATTGCCATTAAGCCCCGGTTCTGTGAGAAGAGACAGAGCATAAGTGACTCCATTTTGGAGTCCCTTTTTTTTTTTTTTTTAAAACACTACTCTCCCAAAGCATAAATGACTTGATGGGCTCTGTTGACATTCTCAGTAAAGATGCCTGCCACTCTTCAAGGTACTGCGCACAGTCCCAATGACTGCAGAGTGAAAGCCTCCCTCTGAAGTGGGGGTGGGGGTGAGGACAGGGTGGTTGGGTCCAGAAGTCTGGGATGAGGCCAACAGCTTCGGTTTTCAGCAACCTCTACAAACCTGCTTGCCTTTTGAGTTAAGTCCCACTAAGTCTGCACACAACATTTTTGAAGTAATTTTTAAAATTATTTTTTAAAGATTTTATTTATTTATTTGACAGACAGAGATCACAGGTAGGCAGAAAGGCAGGCAGAGAGAGAGGAGGAAGCAGGCTCCCCCACCGCTGAGCAGAGAGCCCGATTCGGGGCTCAATCCCAGGACCCTGAGATCATGACCTGAGCCGAAGGCAGAGGTTTAACCCACTGAACCACCCAGGTGCCCCTTGAATTAAGTTATTATCCTGTTCTCATACGCTCTTATGTCCACATACACCAAAGAAATGCTCACTATCTTTTAACCCTTGGGCGTGTATAAAATTTAGCACTTTATTTTTTATCTTTAACTGGGGCCACTAAAATCAGACACTATGTACCAGGCAAGCTTAAGCCCTGAGCACTAACCGCCAAGAAACAACATGAACAGACTCAACTTCACCAAACAGAAAGGAGGTAGCTACATTCAAAACCAAGCCCATGTCTCTAGAAAGGCAATAACCACAACTCAAAGAGAACATTCTGGAAATGGCTCTTGTGGGAAAAGGAGGAAGGTACATTAGTCTTTTCAACCATCCTAGAAACATTCCTGGCAACCTCAGGACCAGCTTATGTAAAGGAGGCACGTGTAACGAGAGAGATCTTGGATTATGGCCTTCTGGGCCCATGGCATCTCATCTTTTCTAGGTTCATGGGAGTACCCTTGCTTTTTTAGCTGGGTCTCGCTGTTTGCAGAACAAATAAGAACAAAATTTTTTTATTCTATAAATGAAGTGATACATGACTGTTACTAACGGGTTATTAGCATAAATAAATTCTCTCTCTTGTCCTTATTTTGGGTGACTTAAAAAAAAAAATATCTCTTGACATTTAGAAAAAAATTTTTTTTTTCCTGAGCTTGAGGTCCTACCGTGGGGCTCCAGTTCCTCCGACCACTTGCACTGCCCCCTCTCTCATCTCCTTCAGGGCTTTATGCACATGTCAGCTCCTTGATGACTGGAGCCACCTTCTGTGGCTAGCGGCTACGCTCTTTAAATGTCAACATACACCCAACTCCCACCTCCTTTCCCTGCTTTATCCTCCTCTGTAGGCCTAGTCCCCATCCAGCATATGAATATTTTATTAATTTATTTTATGTGTTGTCTCATGCATGAGAACCTAGGCTCCATGAGGACAGAAATTCTGTCTGCTTTGTTCATGTCACCTACCCTGTGCCAGAACAATACCTAACACACAGAGGACATCAATAAATATCTAATAAATTAATGAATTCCACAGTGATCACATAATAATGTCAACCTGAGATGTCACAGTCAAAGGTCAATTTTGGCTAGCACATGCATAGGAAATATTTCTGGAAAGATGTATGAGACTGCTAATAGCATTAAACTTAAGGGGGAGAAATTTACAACTGATTTCACAGCTGTATGTACTACTCATATCTTTAGATCATTAGAATATTTTTTAATCACCCAGAGATGTCTCGGTGATGTGAATGATAAGACACAGTAAATGCTTTTTATAATCTTCGATAGTTCAAAAAAAAACAACTAATAAATGTCCATTTAAAAGTAGTTAAGCGCATACATGTGTAAAAATCTATGCACAAACCTATGCAATGTGTTGGATGAGACATGCAAATTTAATACAAAAAGATAACACATCTAATAACTTCTAGTTTTGGAGTGCTCAAAGATCTCATATCCAACAGGGTGAACAGATCTGGCTTGAGTGGTGCATTGGTACCAGAGATATCTATGGCTAACAAAGACTTCACCTCAAGCAGGACACTCCGACTGCTGAACAAGGAGACAGAGAAGAGTGTTCCTTCAACTTCCTTTTTTTTTTTTTTTTTAAGATTTTTTATTTATTTAAGAGAGCGAAGAGTGGAGTGAGGGGCAGAGGGAGAAGCAGGCTCCCCATTCAGGACTCCGGAACCACGACCTAAGTCAAAGGCAGGTGCCTAACCGACTGAGCCACCCGGGTATCCCCTTACAACTTTTTTTTACACCAAAGATACGGTAGCAAGGATTCCAGTCGTGTCCAAGTCTTGAAAAGAATTTCAGTTTTCCTTTGAATTTCAAGGCCAAGCTATCATTATACAATACAGTCTCCATAATGAGAATTTCTGAAGGAAATGAAAGAAACCATGAAAACCAGAGTAATCAGAAACATCAGAGAGAAGGGGGTTGACAAAGAGCAGAATTAAACTACAAGAGGACATCTATTTGCAGAGTAAGAAAATCTGGAACAGAAAGAGGGCAGTCATGGCCAGTGAACGGGACTCGTTAGCCCCAGAAATCAATGTTACTGTCCCTCTTGACTCAGGTAAGCATGAGAATGAGGCCATCTGTAATATGAAAGGAAGCTTTACAGACTTGATAGTTCATCTTCTGGAAATGAGATGGAAATATCAAGTTTGGGAAAGGTGCCCTACAGTCCTATGGTAATGAACAGTGGCCTGTGCTGATGAAGCATGGCAAATTTCTCAAAAGCAACCAGGGGCAAGGGAAAGAAGGAAAAAAGGGATGGAGGCTTGTTTTGACAGAGAGAAAGAAAGGAAGCATGAGCCCCCTGAATTATGTTCCCTACCCCACAATTTTTTTAGGATCATTCTATGATTTGGGATCTTTTCTCTCTTTTCTCTCACTCTCTTGAATACTCCACTTTCCAACCGAGAGCTTTGATTTTAATCTACCTAACACCAGCTGTTGCCAGAGCCTTCCTATTAAAGGGCTTAGTTCAGTCTGATCATTAAAGCAAACATCAAGCACATGGAGCCAACACAGTGTTTTGGAAAGAGCACTGGTCCAAATGCCTGCGTCAGACCCCAGCTCTGCACGGCCCCAGCTCCCCAGCCTGGGGCACACTGCCCAATCTCACTTTTTTCTCCTTAAACCAGATAGTAAGCCTTGCCCTATCTACAGAAGGTGGTTAAGAGGATCAAACAAATCATGCAAACTGAAAGGTACAGTCTACAAACATACACGTTATTTTTATGGTGATTTCTAATGCTCTTTTACTATTGTCGGTGGAAAATGTAAAGAGAAAACTGTCCTAGGAATATAGAAGAATGCCTTTCAGCACATGTGCTCTGGGTCCCACTGTAATAAAACTCAGATAACGGGGATTCTGAAGGGTGCTGTCAAGGATGCAAAATTTTGTGGCGTTAGCATAATCACCCAGTGTTCAGTTTCAGGAGGTTCAAAAAACTGAGTGACACTGAATATGATCTCACAGGTGGTCTTTGAAGATATTTCATGAGCTAAAGCTAACAAATCCAATTATGGCATTTTGGCCTTTAAAAAAAAAAAGGGTCCCTAATCCAGCTTTTCTCATCCTCTGGAACATGGACTCTCTGGAATACAGAATTAATACAGAAAACTTGGGGGAAATTCTCAAGCTAATACAGAAAGAATGACAACAGAATCTTCTTTTTATTCCAAAAGGCAAATTGGTAAAGCTTCGACACCCTTCCTGCACAGGGAATACTGCATTACAATTAAAACAAAAACAGCTGGCCTGCAGCAGAGAAGGGTGCATAAGCTCTTGGCTGGGAGGCTGTTTTCAGGTAGTATAAAAAGGGCCCATGAGATCTCTAAGAACAACTATCTATACAAAGAATGACAAATTACATTGAAATTACAAGTCACCACACCCTGCTGCCATACCCTGACAGCAAACAGAAACCTACTAGCGTTTATTTTTCTTTAAATTGTGTTCCCATTTGCCTAGAAATACTTGTATTCGATCTGACTGGCACTGCCCCTCCCAGTCCCTCTTGTAAGTGTTGAACAAGCCCCGGGAAAGATACCGACTTCTGATACCAACTCCACTAACCAGGTCAGCGCACTAAATAAACCCAAATCAATGAGCGGAGAACGTAAAGCTTCAGGCAAGCCTTTATAGCTGGAATACAATTCTAGTTTTGGTTTTAGTTTTAAACAGATCATTAAAATGATACCTGAGAGGCAGAACAGAACATCAATTGGTCCCAATAAGCAAACACCACTTCCCTTTGCACAGAAACAAGCAGAAACATTACCTTACAAACAAAGTTATCTTACTGCTTTCCGTTTCCTTCTCGTCGCAAGAGGAAAACCTTACATGAAGTATCTGCCTATCCCAGCACATTTCTGCAGATAAAACATTGGTCAGTGAAAGTTGCTGTGGCCAGGACATGGGCAGTAAAATGTTAGAGCTCTCTGCACAGCCAATCCAAAGCTGCTCAGACCTCCACGGCCTCCCAGGGCGATCAGGCCGGCTTTGTGGCAATACAATGGGGGTTAAACATTTCCTCGGATCCACTTAGAAGCAAGAAAAATTTGTTGAGTTGCTCACAACTATTTGGCAAAATACGCACTAAGTTATGGCTTGGTAATAGTGTTTTAAGAAAGTAACTGCCATATTCTCACCTATGGGGAGAAGATGTTAGGTGTTATGTGATCTCTTCTTTATTTTTAACCTAGTATTAACTTGAAATAACATGTTGAAATTCCTAACTGGTCGTTGTTTAAATATTCTTTCTTTACAGGGCACTGTAGTTTCTTAGGACTGGTTCGCTTAGCTCAGCGTCAGAACCTACTTTGCATATACGCATCACCTGCCATCCACAGGACTCACAACCACCATTTCCGCCTTTTTCTTTAATGGTAGTCTAGAAACTCTATTTGCTTAATTTACTGTGAGATCTTACAAAAATAAATATTACAACGATTTTTCTTTGTTTCTTTCCCCCTATTTCTCAATTTTATTCCTCTTTTAGGCTCTTCTGCTATGCATTATCATTAGTATCTTAACTGTTCAAGCTGTAAAAACTTTCAAATGTTGATTATGATTATTCTTAGGAGCCAGATATTATTGATACATAAGTACACACATAATCACAAATAGGTATTTTCATGACAGTACTAAATATATCAGAGTTATAGTTCATGGTAAGAAGACCCAAAAAGGGGCGCCTGGGTGGCTTAGTGGGTTAAGCCTCTGGCCTCCGCTCGGGTCATGATATCAGGGTCCTGGATCGAGTCCTGCACTGGGCTCTCTGCTAAGCAGGGGGCCTGTTTGCCTGTCTCTCTGCCTACTTGTGATCTTTCTCTCTGTGTCAAATAAATAAATAAAATCTTTAAGGAAAAAAAAAAAAAGACCCAAAGAAAGTCATGGAAGGTGTTCTAAAATGAGGTATATAAAAAAGGACCTCATGGTGGGGGTTGCCACAGATCTTTAAGCCAACCCATTTTTGCTTGAATTTCTAATGATTATTTTTCAAGCTTTGAGGTTCTCTGGAAAAACTTCTAGAAGTAGGTTATAAGTCCTTCACTGGCCATGATGCAAGTTTAGAAAGTGTCCATGTGATATATTTTCAATTAAAGTTACTTACTTCCTAAGATCAAACCTAAAAACCCATTCCCCACTTACTACAACAACCGGCATGAAGCAGGGGTGGACTTATTTCTTTGAAGGTCTTTTCAGCACCTCTCGAGACCTGGCTGGAATAATGCTTTTCCTCACAAAAGCACAACCAACATGTAACACAATCTCCTTCAAAGCATGTTGTCGGGAGATCAACAATAACCAACCAAGTAGAGACATCAGGCTATCCTGACTGGGTCCTACCCCTGGACATCTGCTTCTGCCTAATATATCCTAATCAACCTTGCATCGTGTTCATCAAAACCTTATAAGCATAAAATAATTTTCTGATTTACCTTTTTTACTCTTTTAAGAAGTAAGTCACGCCGAGGAGGGAAGCCTTTCGAGTTATTTCTTCCCTGTTGCCTATCTGCTGTTCTGTATGGGTCGTGATAGGAAACAGAAGCTAACCAGCCGCTCCAGCCACGAATATGGCACAGGCTGCTGGTCGCAGAGACCCAGCTGGAGAGTGTGACTTATCCTTGTTACACCTGTTGGGATTTCCGGGTCATTTCTCTGGAGCAAGTTTTAAAAAAGTGTAAGCCTTCCCATTGGAAAGTAAAGGGTGCCGATGTTTTTCTATGAACATGTTAGCATAACATTTCTTTTCCCAGTTAGCTATTCCCACCAGTGTAAGAAAAAAAAGAAAAAAAAAAAAAAAGCTCATGGGACAGTCTGAAAGAAGGTTGTATTTTAAAGAACAGGGTGAGGACTACTTAAAATGGGGTTTTAAACGGCGATTGTGTTCCTCGCAGGAAGGGCTGAATGGAGGAGAGTCGAGTCTGATTATGCAGCCTGACTGACCGAGCCTAATCAGAATTATTTCGGCACACTGCTTCACTGCAGCCTCGGACCCATTAAATCCTAAACGCTTCTGCCTGCCCACTTCTCGCTGTCTCCCACTGCGACCTGTTACTGCTCAATAGAGGTTCCTCAGTGGGCTACTCGAAACATTTTTTCGGTGAACGGAGGTGCTGGGTTTAACAAGCTCCTCCGAACACATCAGCAGAGCTGTCATTTTATGGCAAGAAGGGGTAGTGTCCCCTTTAAAACGGCGACCCCCAAGACTGCCCTGCAGAAGGGGGCCCTCTGAGGTCAGTCCGTTCACTTTGTGATGTAATGGTTGAGACACACTGAAGTCGACAGCTATTCCTCCTTCCTCAAAACCGGCTCTGGATTCGAAAAGCAACGTCTGGCGATCCTACCTTGAACTCACAGGTTATTAACTACCATGTGCTTAACGCATCATCCCAAACACGTAGTTCCATTCTGGGGACCGGGTGAGGCAACGTACAGGATCAGAACAGCACATTCTGCTTTCTGCTCCCCTACTTCAATCTTGATTAGAACAGGCGCAATCAGAAATTTTCGGTCTTTAAAAATTACTGTCTATCCAAATTGGAGGCTTCTACATAACCTAGTGCGCATGTGCAAGCATGATGACTATGCATGAGGCACCGTCCCCTGGGCACTGTAGATTCCTCATCTGCAGGATGAAGAAAATACAGCACCTTCTTTGTAAAGCTGCGGTGAGGATTAAATGAACCAATGTTTTTAAGTCACTTAGAACAAAGCCAGGCACACAGTAGATGCTATGCAAGTGTTTGTATTTAAAAGCAATAAATCAGATTATCATCTATGAGTGAGAAAATGAGCCAATGATTCTTTCAGGCGTTCATCCAGAATGCAAGAGTTCTGCCCCAAAGTACTAGTTCACCTTCATGATCTTTACTTTTGTCATTATCTAGCAGGGTTTTCTAATTGACCAAGTTCACGTTCACTGCCCATTTTCTGCAATATTTTGTAAGTTCTCCCGGGGCAGAAATGACGGATGTTCTCTTTTGAACTCCTTTACTGGAGCTAAAAAAAAAAAAAGATGTCAACTAGCTGGTTGAATGTGAGATAAAGCATTTTGCTTAAGTAGTCTATACGCTGAGTGGGGAAAAAAATGAATTAATGGAGTGATTCTCTCCTTCACCCTGAAATGCCGCACTGTACCCACACGGTCACCGGCATCCCCGGGCATGTTTCTCAAAGACATGGCTCTGCAGAGGGAAGGCAAGTTATGTGCCATGTCATTTGCTGAAAGTGTCACAGGGGCCATCTGTTTCTGTAAATACAGTACAGAGACCCAGGAACCCAGCAGGTAATTTGATGGCACAGCAGACTGGCATCCTATTGCTTTTTCATAATTTACTGATAGGCAAAATGCCAAGAGTCTAGAAAGGTTTCGTGATGCTGAATGAAGGAGGGAGATTGAGAGAAAATGTTTTTAAGGCAAATTGATACACTGTTCAATATTTCACGAGAATAACAGAGACTAGTTCTCTTTTCAAATCTGTGTGCCATCCAAACCAACAAAACATGCATTAATTCTCGGCTCACTCTTTCTCCTTCTCTTAGTCTCCATCCCCACCCTCCCTGCCCCACCTTGTTTTGAGTATAGACATGTTTTATAAGTCACTGTTTTTAAAAAGGAACTCTGGTATTGTTATAATTAAGAATGATTATCTAAGAAAAGGGTTTTTGCAAATGTAAGTGGTCAAAAACTCTGATACCTTTAACAAGAACACTAAAATAACCAGAATTTCTCATACACTATGTCCTGGCAACACTTTATAGAGTTCTTTGGTTACTTAGATATGTGTCAAAGATATGCATTTCATTTTAAATGTATGTCTAACCACATTGCATTTAAAGTCTTCTTAGTTAGAACTGTGTTTATATAAGTGAAAATTTATTGGGCAATTCAAAGACTAGCAAAGATGAAATTGTAACTGAAATTTGGAAAGGATACGGGGTTGAAATGAGAAGAAAAGAAGAAGGAGGCTGTAAAGAATAGGAAACATTAGTGTTCAAAGTACATAAAATTGCCTGTGTAGGTCAAAAAGGTCAAATAGCAGTAATTTCATGTGATGGACCCTAACTAATTCCCTAGGACTTCCCAGCTTCAGTAACATCCAAATTCTTTTTTTTTTTTTAAATTTTATTTATTTGAGAGGGAGACAGATAGTGACAAGAGATAGTGAGAGAGCACATGTGGGGAGGAGAGGGAGTAGCAGGCTTCCCACCAAGCAGGGAACCCTATGTGGGGCTCGCTTCTAGGACCACGGGAATCATGACCTGAGCCAAAGGTAAACACTTAACCGACAAAGGCACCCAGCCACCCCACATTCAAATTATTTAACGGAAATACAGTCATGGTTCCCAGAGCAAATAATTTCCATTTGTATGACTGGTTGTATAACAAGACTCATCACAATTTTCTGGAAGTTTCAGTTGCTATAAGAAATGTTACTCCCATGGGGCACCTGGGTGGCTCAGTGGGTTAAAGCCTCTGCCTTCGGCTCAGGTCATGATCTCAGGGTCCTGGGATCGACCTCCGCATCGGGCTCTCTGCTCCACAGGGAGCCTGCTTCCTCCTCTCTCTCTCTCTCTGCCTGCCTTTCTGTCTACTGGTGATCTCTATCAAATGAATAAATAAAATCTTAAAAAAAAAAAAAAAAGAAATGTTACTCCCACCCCCCACCACCAAACAGCTACATATTGCTGAAGGGCATTAGAGTGCCAAAGTAATTTTCCCTACCTCTTCTTAATTATATATTTAAACACACACACACAACCTGAGTATATCTTTGTATAAGCATGTACTACATGTAAGTTCATTTTTCAAACCGGCGTTCCTTCTGACATCTAAAACCTCATTTGAATAATACAGGAATAATTCATTCATAAAAATAAGATAGAAAGAGATTTGAAATTCTACTGTAACAAAATTCACCAAAATCACCCTGGCTCAAAGACACCTTTTTAATCATGTATTTTCAGATCTCTTCTGCACTGTGAAACCCACCACTTCTTAGAAAAATTCTTAACAAATTCTCTCATTACTGCTGTTGCAACGATGTTAGTGGACACATGCACAATCAGGCTCCCTTGGATTTGTTCTAGTAGTCCAAGCATTGGATGAGTCATGAAGCGGCTTATGAGTCTGTTGAAAGTTATGGAAGCCCTACCCCTAGAAAATTCAGCAACCCCTAAATACCTCTAGTTCATGCAACAGGATGTTCAAGAACCCCAGAGTCCCCGAAGACCAATGCAACTGTTTTAAGTGCCACAATTCACCTATTCATCATTCATCTTTTTTCTTAGACAGCACTGTAAGAAACAATAAAATTCTTCACAATCCCCCCACTCCAATGTATCAGGGTATCTTTAGAGCTCTTGTCTGAACCCTGTAATTCCAACAAAGCTGCAATTTTGAAATTTTTAATTTTTGAAGTTAACATTATGTCACGAGTATTTTTCATATTGCTGACAGTATTCAGAATTATAATTTTTTTAAGTGAACACAAAATACTTCACCTCAAATACTATGCCATTATTTTTATCACCAGACACCAAAGATTTCTGGAAAATTTTTCTGAAATGAAACAGAAGGGGAAACGTCTTAATGGAGGCGCCATCCCACATTATTCGTTAAGTGGCAACATTATTCTCTTCAGTGGGACCTGAAGTGTATGTGGCCACTTTTACATGTTGCTATTGGAAATTATCTTGCAATATTTTGGCCAGATTCAGTAGATATAAGACGAGCTCATCTTCCCAAACACCAATGTATTACCCGAATGCTAAGAGACTTCCATTACCTGAGGAGGAAAATCCTTAGTCTTGTTATTCAATATCCTGGACAATCCAGCCCCTACCTGCGACTCCATTAGTCCTAAACACCCACAGTCCCTTCCCACTAGACAGGCCTCTGATTCCAGCCCCCACTACACCAGGCCCATCCAGCTTTGCACCTCTGTTGACTCTGTTTCCAGACACCACTCTTGGAATGTGCCTCTCACTCCTCACCCTTGTTTAAATCTCTCCCTTCCATCAGAGCCAAGATCAAGTCCATATGCCCCCATGATGATTTCACTGAGGGGCGCAGTCATCAGAGAACTGCCTCTCGCCCATAGACCTTATCTCCTAGCCTTTCTCTTACATCTACTACCGTAACTTGAGCTTTTGAGAGAGGTCATTTTCTCTTCCCATCTCGAATTATAACCCATTTCTGTGAACTCTAACACCAAAAGAGCTTTGCACAGAGCAGATGCCTATTAACCATGAGAACAGCCACTGAATGTCTGGATGTGGCTGTCCTCCTGCATGCACCTCTGTACGTGAACTCGTACACGACTGGAGAGAAACATTCATTAAATTCCAAGGGAAGCATCTTTGCCTCCTCACATACCGATTTGCAAGAATAATTAGTTCTTGGCTCCATGCCCCGATTCCCCTGCCGGTCCCCCCCACCCCACCCCTCCTCACCTCCTGTCTTCCCTGTAGTACTCTTGCAACATCCCAGCATCTCCCCCACCTCATCTGCCACTATGTTTCTTCCTCTCTAGAACTTCCCTCTTCCTCCGTTATTCTGCCACGTTTCTCCTGCCTCTTCAGCTCAATTTCATCTATCTATTCCTTCATAAAGGGGCACAGCAGTGAAGAACTCTGGGTTCAAATGTTAGCCCTGTAGCCCTGTTCCCTCGCTGGTCTGTGGCCTTTTGTCTTTTTGCCTTCTTCAAGGCTCATTTTCCATCCACAATCTGCCTCAGAGAGTCTCGAGGAGAAAATAGTACTACACACGCAAAGTATTATCTTATTTATTAGCAAATGCTTAATAATATTAACTTTTAATGATCACTTTCTATCTCAACTCCTATTTTCTAAATTCTTTATCTTAAAATTTTATCATTTCTCCCACTCTTATTTTCCTACTATTTATCATACAAATCATCTCCATTGTATCTTTCCTTTCTTCATTATTTAATAATTGAACAAGAAAATAGAAAAAGATGTTTAATCAATAAAAAACAGTGCAATGAAATAATAAACAAAAGAGAAAAATAAAACTGGAAACAATTTTGTTTACCAGCATCTCCTTTATCCAGGACTCTCTGTCAGCTTTACTCTTTCCAAGTTCATCATGTATCTTATATTTTATATGTATACATGTGCATAAATATATCTCTATCGGTACATCTATATATGGCTGTGCATAGGGACACTGGGTGGCTCAGTTGGTTAAGCGACCGACTCTTGATCTAGCCTCAAGTCATGATCTCAGGGTTCTGGGACCATCAGAGCATCAGGGCTCTGCCCAGCAGGAAGTCTACTTCTCTCTCTCTCCCTCTCCTTCTGCTCCTCCCCCTGCTCACACTCTCTCTGTCTTCTAAAATAAATTAGCCTTAAACATAAAAATTAAAAATTTTGTAAAAAGGTATTTTTTATTTGAGCCTTGACTTCTTTTACTCACAACCATATCTCCAAATAAAATGTAAGTTCTGATTGGCATTTCGAAAGCCAACTACCGTACAAAGCCATCCTTTTTTAAGAAACAAAATATCCGGGACGCCTGGGTGGCTCAGTTGGTTAAGCAGCTGCCTTCGGCTCAGGTCATGATCCCAGCGTCCTGGGATCGAGTCCCACATCGGGCTCCTTGCTCTGCAGGGAGCCTGCTTCTCCCTCTGCCTCTGCCTGCCATTCTGTCTGCCTGTGCTCGCTCTCTCTCTCTCTCTCTCTCTCTCATAAATAAATAAAAAAATTAAAAAAAAAAAAAGAAAAAAGAAACAAAATATCCATAGAGGAAATTAGAAACCGATGAGACATTTGTCCTTTTCTGGGAAAGAATAAAGGAGATCCTCGTAGGTGAAAAAGACAGGATGAGCAGAGGGAGGGAGGGACAAAACCTGGCCTGAGCAAGAAAGAGAGCTTATTGGTCCGGGGCTCTGTCATCCGTGATCAGTGTGGAAGGTGACAGGCATGACTGGATCACAGTCCTGCTGAGATGAGGAAGCTGACCCGGAGGCATGACCCACTGGACAGCTGTGCCTGTGAGTGGCTCACACCCCTACCAAACGGCGCCCTCCCCACGGGATTTCCTTCCGTTATTTTAAAACAAAAATAAAACAGTATCTGGTAAGCAAGGGATGATAAAATGGGATACCCCTGTGATATTTAGTATTTTCTATAAGAGGACGTATGAGAAATGAGACCAGCTAGAAAATGGGGTAATTTGACCATTTTGCTATTTATACATTTGGACATGATTGTGTAATAAAAGGGAGCATTTATTGAATCCTTCCACCACTGTTTTAGGCATACGCGTGCCTCCTAACTAATTTAATCCTCATGACAACACAATGATGCATTTCCTACGACTACTGCCATTTTGCAGAAGAAGACATAGAAAGTCAGAGAGGTTAGTTACCTACTTAACGTCACACAGCAAGGAAACTTGGGGGCTGGACTCTGTGAGTGTGCAAACCATCATGTTCGTGTTCGTGTGTGGCGTCCACGCCTTCAGACCATAGGTATCGTCCCATCAGAATTTGAATTAAACCTCACACTGACCATGCCATACAAATCACCGCTCCCCACTGGCTTTTTAAAGCCATAAATGCTTTTGCCACTGCCTTATTTCTCTTCACAGAACAGAGAGGAGATTCTTTACCTTTTCCCCTCATAATATCAAGAAAATCGGAGACAAGAGAGCGGCAACTTCCTCTTCTGATTCTTCACCTGGACGTTCCTGTCCCTTGACTCTGTCCCACCAGCCTCTTTTGTCTTGTTTTGTTTCTGAGTTTTCATGCCAGGATGGGGGCTGGCTGGCCAGCCACCAAATAAGGGAAAGTCATCTTGAGAATGCTTAGGAGAGCTCAGATTTAGCTACTCTGATTTCTCCTCCATCCTTCACACGCAGAAAGTACTTAGCTGCCTGTCTCACACCAAAGCCTCCACGGATATGGGCAAGGTTTTGTCCTCTTAGAGCTAATTCCAGAGTGGTAGTGTGAAAAATGTCCTTTAGTGGCTTTCAGATTCATTTTTTCCTTTTGCTATAAAACGACTGCACAGTGTCCTCCCATCCCTCAAATTCCAATTTGGGAAAGATCTCAGCTCACGGATGGGGTAATGCACGACTCAGCATCTCTTAGGGGTCCCCCCTCTACCTCTCTTGCTGAGCTCCCCCCTCCCTTTCCACAGCAGAAGGGGCTGCCAGTGAATGGGGATTAGTATCCAGAACAAAAGCATATTTTCAATGACCTACCTTGAAATCAAAACATGAATTTTGAAATGCCTTTCTTCCAACTATTTGATTTGAAATGACATTGCACACAAATGCAAAAACCCTTAGACCCACTTTGTTGTGGTCCGTAAGTTGCTTATAGCCCAAGACCCCAGCTTCATCGACAGGATCCCGCTTTCTTTCAAGGTTTCGCTGACCTCGTTTTCCATAGTTAATTACTCATATTTAAAAGGATGTCTAATACCACCCAACTCATTTACATAACTGAAGCAAGAATCCATGACCAGACTTTAAGCGTCTTCTCCCTCCAAGTGCCCCTTCCCAGCTGTCTAATCCAATTTGAAGCTTTTTGTGGGGGAGTGGCGGTCATTGGCTATGTCTGTTTCCATTTGTTTGTATTCAGAAGAAAGGATGCAATGTTTATAAAAATATAATAACGAAAAGCATAGAAGACTTAAAGAGTTGCAACTAGAGAGATTAGCTGATTTTAAATGATCTGCAGGAATTAAGAGCTAAAACTATTTGCCTTTGAAGTAATACCATATGTTGATTTTTTAAAAAATCCTGGGTGTTGATTGTAAATATACCAAATGTTACAAGATTTTCTTGATTTGCCTTCCCTATACTCAATATTGTGCTAATCACACAATTTTCCAGATCCTTCTAAAGTTGTCTAGAAGCTTAAAAATGTTCTCAAGGATTTTATATATAAGAAACCCAACCTAATTCTCTGTAGGCCCACTAAACTTAAGCTCCTCCACATCCTGATACATCTTAAAAATTTTCCAGACACACTGAAAATTCAAGAATTGCATGTAGAATCATTTTTGCCTCAAAAAGCAATAACTTTCATATCTCTTAAATAGTTATAAAATAAATAATTTCAAACAGTTAAATAGATTACTCTCTAAATTAGGAGATAGTTTACCTAGATAAGACATAAAATTCTTAAGAGGAGTTATTCTGGTAAATTATTAACAATAAAAATAAATAAGAAGAAATAAACATTTTGTATTATAGTGGAAAAACTATTCCACACCTCTGATGTTTGCATAATTCTTTTCTTTCTTTCTTTCTTTCTTCCTTTCTTTCTTTCTTTTCTTTCTTTCTTTTTTTTTTTTTTTGGCTGCTATAGAAAGTCACAGAACACACTTCTCTCCTAAAGCATCAGAGGTTCAGGCTAATTTACAGTAAAATTCAAGAAACTACTCATACTCTTTAGTTCTACTGACATTTTGTCCCATAAATACAGTTCCCTAAATAATTATGGAATTACTATTATGTGAAATGTACCATTTTAGGGGTTCTTGGGTATAGATAAAAATTTTATGCAGAAAAACCATAGCAATCATTTAGCTTATTTTTCTCATTTTATAGTTGAAAAATCAAAGGAGACACAGACAATCAGAAGCTGGGTGTGAGCAATAAGGTCTTAACCTTATTTCTAAACAAAAATTCATTTTAGAAATCAGGGTATCAGTTTTGTTGTCATTAATTGCACAAAGGAAAACATAAAGAAGAAAGAGAAATCAAGAAAGAAGGCTTGATTTTGACTCTGCCCCGATAACAGAATCAGCCTCAATCTGTGGAAGTATTTTTGGTTTTTGTTTTTGTTTTTAAGACACAGGGCCTGATGCTTTTACTTACGTATTTATTTAAATATTTTATTTATTTATTTGAGACAGAGAGAGAGAGAGAGCATAAGCAAGGGGAGAGACAGAGGGAGAAGCAGACTCCCCACTGAGCAGGGAGCCTGGAGCTGGCTCCCATGACCCGGAGATCTTGCTTGAGCTGCAGACAGACACTTAACCCACTGAGCCACCCAGGTGCCCCAGTCTATGGAAGTTTTAATGAAACGAATTAGCAGCATCTCATGAACTGGGGATGCGGACAGATATTATGTTTTATAAAGAAGAAAAAAAGGGGGATAAAGAAGTGAATGCAAATAGAAAAACTGATCCATTTTACTGTTGTCATAAAATATGGACAGAAAAGCAAACAGGAATGAAAATACGAAGAAGTCCAGATTCCTGGTTCAGCTATGAACCTTGGTGATGCTGGCAAGTTATTCTACTTTCCAGATTGTGATTTCTGCAATTATTCAGGGAAGTGTTTGACTAGGTACTTACAATGATTAAATCTGTTAGAATTCCCAGAATTCCATGGAAAGACTTCTGTCCCCAAATAAGGAAAACCTGCCTATTGAAGCTGTTCAAAAATGACATGCAAATCATTACAAAATAGAAAATTACATGTTTGAGTTTGTATAATAGCAACTGATTAATTAATTAACTGATTAATTCCCCCACACTCCTTGAATGCAGATGCGTGGGCTCCCTGCTATGGACTGAATAAGGGGTTACCCCCTCCCCAATTTGATATGCTGAAGCCGGAATCCCCCATGTGATGGTATTTGGAGATGAGGCCTTAGGGAGGTGATTAGGTTATGACAGTGGAGACTTTGTGAACGGCATTAGTGGTCTTATAAGAAGAGACACAGAGAGATTATCTCTCTCCCGGTGGGTCCTGTGAGGAAGGATGCGTAAGAAAGGAGCGGTCTGCAAACCAGGAAGAAACTCTCACTGGGAACCACAAAATCGGCAAGCGCCTTGATGTGGGCTCCTCAGCCTCCAGAACTGTGAGAAATAAATGTCTCTTTTTTAAGTCAGTCCCTGGCATTTTGTTCCCGCAGCCTCAGCTGACAAAGACAGCCCCCAAAGCTGCGTCACATGCCAGCCACTGCCTCGGTCCAGCAAAGCTAAAACAGGAGGAGCCCAGGAGTCGAAACTGGGGACCAGATAAAAGCAGGCCCAGCCAAGTGCTGTGGCTGGAGGAGCCACTGCTGGACGTTAAGCATGAGAGGACGAGGGTTTTAGTAGCAAGGTTCCTTTGGCAGCAGAGCGGAGGACAGGATAGATTCA